CATCATACAAAAAAGGATTTTATTTTGGGAAATTGATTCCTAATTTATGGCAAGTTTTACTTTCAGAAATAAAACCACAAAACAACACAATCTCATCCAATCTTAAAGGCTGGCATGCTGAGCAAGGAATGTTCTTATTCTTTGTAGGAGCTCCTTCTTTACACTGTCAGGTACCAGGGCTCTGCCTTTTGGTGTGATTTCAGCCACCAAGTCATCAACAGTAACGTGTTCTAGTCCTTTTTCTTTAATTACCTCTTTACAGTGTGCCTTCAACTGGTCCTTCCAGCCACATTCAATTAATTTAGCTCTCAGCAACTCTTTGAGGCGTTCTCTTTCTCCAGTTTCTATCAACTTTTGGTTAATCGCTGCTCTCATCTGCGCATCTTTGTTCATCTTGCTAACCACCATCACCGCGGGCGAGGGCCGTCCCTTCCCAGCGACGAAATGACCCTTGCGCTGACGACCGTTACCTACCACACTCTTCGGCTGCCCCGAAAAGGCCCTCTTTATTGCTAGCAATATTTTTTGCTTTAATATGTCCTATTAGATATTAAAATAGCTGTTCCAACCTTCTTTTGATTAGTGATGGCATGATGCACCATTTTCCATCCTTTTATTTTTAACTTATTTACGGCTTTATATTTAAGGTGGGTTTCTCTCAGTAAGTAATTTTGCATCTTGCTTTAGAAAATAATCCAATTTCACCATCTCTGCCTTTTAAAATGGATGTTTGAATTATCTATATTTAATGTGATGATTGATATGGTTGCTATTGCTTTTCTATTTGTTTTATCTATTTTTGTTACATTTTCTTCTTTTTCTGCCTTCCTATCAATTATTTTTATTATTCTATTTTTATAACATTTCTTGCTTTATTAGCTATAATTTTTCTTTAAGTTCTACAGCACACATCTTTATCACAATCTGCCTACAAGTAATATTGTATCATGTCATGTGCAGTGTAAAAAACTTTCAACAGTATATTTCCATTTCATCTTCTCCTGGCCTCTGTGCTATTGTTGTCATACATCTTCCTCATATATATATTTCAGGCCACACAATATGCTGTTATTATTTTTGCTTTAAGTAGTCATTTATCATTTACAGAGATTTGGAAAAAAATATTTTATATTTACCCACATAGTTTTTATTTGTGTTGCTCTTCCTTCCTTTGTATAAATCCATATTTCTATCTAGCATTATTTTCCTTCTGCCTGACACACTTCCATTTACATGTCTTGCAGTACACATCAGTTGATGAATTTTTCAGCTTCTATGAGTCTGAAAAAGTGTTTATTGTGCCTATATTTTTAAAATATATTATCTCTGGTTACATAATTCTACATTGACAGGTTTTCTCCAGTACTTCAAAGCTGTTGCTAACTACATTCTTGCTTGCTTATTTCTGACAAGAAGCCTGCTGTCCTTCTAAAATTTTCCCTCTGAACATAATGTTTTGTTTTAGCTTGCTTTTAAGATTTTCCCTTTATCTGAAGGGGAACAAAAATGTATTTGAAGAAAAAAATGATAAAAAACATTCTAAATTTGATGACAATTATAATTCCACAAAGAAACTCAACAAATAAGAAATATTAATAAAATTACACAAAGGGATATAATCAAATTACTTAGAACTAGTGATAAAGGTAAATATGGTCTCTGTCACTCTATGTTAGTCAATAGCAAAAAACTCCACCCATATTTTTCATGGGTAGTCAAACTCTGCATGTCTACAACCAGTTAATTTCCACCTCTTCCCCTACCTTATATGTTCCAACCACAACTCCAAAAGAAATAGAATAAAAACAAATATCCTGTTCCTCTTCCAATGTTCCCTGTTTTAGAAAATAGCACCAGGAAGGGAGTTAACATGGGGGACCCTGGGCTTGACTCATTCCATCAAACACAGCCAGATCAACAACAAATCATTTTGAATACTTAGGAAATCAAGCTGAGGATTAAGAGAACAATTTGCACAATTAGAGGGAGAGAACATGGCAGGTAAGAGGTGCAGAGATGTGAACTGGGGGAGAGAAAAATCCATGGTGCTGTGGAGGAGAGGGCACAGAGAAAGAGAGGGGGAGAGAGAGCAGTGCCTCAGGTCATGCAAGTAAAACACTCCCCCCAAAACCACTGACTGGGGAATGGAAAAGATCACAATTTTTTACAAACAATGGAGCTCAACTTCTGAGGTTTTAGAAGTCCATGCCATTTGTCAGAGTCAAGCTGGGTGGGCAGGAGTGCTCCTGGGGAAAAGGAGGGCAGAGGCCCAGGAGCGGACAGTGGACAGCATGGTATTGAGATCCCCTAGGTCACACTGGGAGAGAATGTTTCCCTTCCTAGAGTATATTTGGAAGAGGCTATATTGCCTCTCCAAGGACAAAAGACTCGCCAGGCACCATTGAACGGCTGTTCATCAGCAAGGGCCAGAAGCACATGCAGAGGGCAGATAACCTGGTCATAGCTTTTTATTGTGCTTCGCCATAAACCACAAGAACCTGTGTGACCATGCAATTGCTCTTTTGGGACCAAACAGCACCAGATACAGTGCTGTGAGGCTTTCCTCTAGAGGAGAGGAGCAGGTCTGCATCTTGCCAGGTCTTTTAAGATTTGAAGTTTTGAATCCCAGCCACATGCCAGAGATAAAACACAGGAGAATTACGGAGCCAGGGATCCTGATGGCATGGACATAGACAGGTTGAGGGTAGGGATCTGATAGAAGCCTGGGACACAAGAGGGGAGATGGTTCACTTTTCTGTAGGGCTTCCTGAGCAATGGTGGGCACGAGCTTCCCTCCCTGGGGACAAGAGAGTGGGGTGATGTCACCTTCCCCACACACACTAGAACAGTGGGACTTCATGGAACAACACAGCACTCCCAGTTGGGGGTGGAGCCATTTACACCAAACCCCACCCCCTGCACCCTACAGGGGCATCTTTAGTAGGACAGGTCTGTGAGCCAGTACAGCAGGCCCCTACCCCAGAGGACCAGCACAGGCCGCCCCCACATGCACCAAGTCTACTGATCATAGAATGCTTCAAAGCATCAGCTTCAGTTCTGGTGGAAATAGGACCAGGCTTTTTTTTTCCCCCCCCTTTGGAATCAGGTTTATAATTTTTGGCTTCTTTGTTTGTTTCCTTTTTCTCTTTTTCTAGATCAGGCTTCTTTTTTCTTTTTCTTTAGAATCAGGCTTATAGTTTTCTTTTTTGTCTGTTTCTTTGTTTTTCTTACTCTTTTTCCTTTTCTCATTTTTGGGTCAGGCTTTTTTTTTTTTTAACCAGGCTTATTTTAACAAACAAATCAAAGCACATCTAGTTAAAGGTCCAAACACTCTCCACTGCAAGCAAGGAAGAACTCTGCAGAGGATGGGGCGCCTGGGTGGCTCAGTTGGTTAAGCGACTGCCTTCGGCTCAGGTCATGATCCTGGAGTCCTGGGATCGAGTCCCGCATCGGGCTCCCTGCTC